TATGATGGAAATTTGTGAATGGGCTAACAATATAGACATATATAAAAAAGGATTTAACATTAAATCTACACAATAAGTGCAATTAAGAGACTTATTGCACAAGAATTTTTCGAAATTCAGTACAAAAATTCTCTACACAAATAAATTACTTTTAAGAAATATACTTATATACATGGCCGTTTTTTTAGGGGTTCAATAGGTTATCCAGAACAGGACCCCCAAATTTATAAGGCTCCAAAATTTTAAATTTCTTTTATTATTATATAGTACAGAGTAATATTATATACTAATAATAATCAGTAAAATACAATTGGTAAGGAAGAAAAATATAGATGCATGATTTTTCGTTGGTCCTTTTACACTTTTAGTTCTTTTTAATCAGTGTTCAATTAATTTGAGTATAAGTATTTGGATTGATATTTTTTTTAAAAAAGTACGGAGTATATTAATTTGGGGCCTCAATTTTACATTTCGAACCAGGGCCTCGAAATTACACAAAATCAGAAAAGAGAAAGCCATCCAAAACTACATAATGAAATTACGAGCGAGCAAAGAAAATATGAATTAGTTACTAACTGATCGAAATACATACAATGACTGTATTAATAGTTTTAAAATGTGGTAAAATAATATTTTTGAGTAATTTCATATTGTAATTTGATTAATAATTTTAAACCCAGTTATTGGATTTTCTTCAAGAACTAGTTTTATTTAGATTTGATACAAAAAAATTGTGATACACAAATAAGGATCAACGATAGGAAAACTAATCTACTCCCTCCGATTCTTAATTAATTTGACACTTTTACTTCACACATATTAAGGAAATAAATTTGATTTTACTGTAGAGTACACTATTTGACATTGTTTTGCACTGTTTTAGTTTAGATTGTCTATCAAATACGGAAGTGTAAAATTTAATATGGAACTTCCCCAAAAAAAGTGTAAAGTTAATTAAGAACTGGATGATGTATTTTCTAATGTTGATTTTATTATCAATATATGGATATATACATAAAAATCAGCGGCCATAAGCCCATAACCAATTAACCATATACTCGTTACTCGTAGAGGATGACACCGAAGAAATGGTACCATACATAACAAGCAAAGGGTGCCAAAATTTTCTGCAACGATTTAAGCGTTTGAAATACCATGTCCAAATTCAACGAATCCAAATTCCAAATTCCAATAAAAGAAGAATAAGTTTCCTAAATAAGACTAAAACAAGGACAAATTCCAAAATAAGACACATTATTGTTATTATTGTTATTATTATTATTATTATTTTCGGGAAACATTAACCAGATTATATTAAAAAATCAAAGATATATAGAATGAGAGGAGGACTATACCAAGACCTCTTGGGAGGCATACCTCCAAGAAATACAAGACAAAACTAAAGAAAGAAAATATTTTTGAGGGCTTAATACCTGACCCAAAAATACAAAAAAGAAAAGGGAAACAAGTAAACAACATTACATTCTAAGGGAGGTGGTAGCTAAAGCATCTAAATGAATTAGAGCTCTAATGGAAGAGGAAAGATCATTATCAGTTCTCAAACAAAAGAATTCCCCAGTTCTGAGTCCTTGTGCAAGAGAGTGAGCAACTGTGTTGATTTCTCGGTAACAGTGCATGATTTTGATGCGTAGAAGTTCCATGTTTTGCTTGATACAAGCAGTTGTCTTTCATAAACATTTTTTTTCATTTCTCTTAGAAAGAAGATTACAGGTGATTTCTGAATCAGTTTCCAATTGGAAATAAGAGTAACCTGATCTTTTGCTCCAGTACTGGCTTGCAGAATTAAAGCAGCTAGGAAATAAGAGTAACCTGATCTTTTGCTCCAGTAATGGCTTCAATAATCGCTTTCATTTCTGCTTGCAGAATTGAAGCAGCTAGGAAATAAGACACATTACTTTATTCTTAAAAATCAAAATAGGACACATTCATTTCTATTTGGAAATGTTTTAATCAACTTATTTTTTAATAGGACTAAATAAGTCTTATTTGGGGAATAAAACATAGTTAATCACTTAATCCTATTTTAAACCTTCGCCTATGTTACAAGGAAAGTATGAGAAAAAAACAAAAGGCCGGCGACTCCCTAGGGTTCTAGGGTTTTGAAAGGGTGCCGTCTAAGGTGACGGCAGTTTTCATCCGAGCTTAGTCTCGGCTTCTTTTCGCCTTCCATGCTTGAATTCGGCCGTCCCAGAGGTTTCGGCTAGACGTGTATGGCTGAAGTGGCAAGACATACTCGACGGCTGCTTTGCTCATCGTTGTTCTCGACGGGTGTTCGCGGCCAGGAGGCCAGGATGGAGGATATTACAGATAAATACAAGGACATTGCTATTGGGGATAAAGAGGACGAGATTGTTTTCGACGAAGAGACTGTCGATGGTGATGAAGTTTCGGGTGATGAAGAGACGTTCTGAGTGGTGGGTACTGTGATTACGGACAGAATGGTGAAGTTTCCGGTATTTAGAGATCTTATGGCTCAACTATGGAGGCTTGTTTAAGGTATTTCCATAAAAGAGATCAGCGAAAAAAGGTACATGTTCACTTTCTATCATATTCTTGATTTGGAACGTGTGATTGAAGGTGGTCAGTGAATATTCGAACAAAACTTGTTAATTCTTCGAGCGCTAAAGCCAGGGGATGTTCCCCTTCGTGTTCCTTTGAATGAAACTGAATTTTTGGTTCAAGTGCATGATGTTCCATATGACTTTATGAATTTGGAGGTGGCCAGAAGGATTGGGAATTTTATTGGTAAATTCGTTAGTTTTGATATGAGTCAATTTGATAAAAAATGGAAACGTTATATGAGGATTAGAGTTTGCCTGGATGTGGGGAAACCGCTAAAGGTGGGCACGACTCTCAGGAAGAGGCATGGAGAAGGGAAATGAGTTGACTTAAAGTATGAAAAGTTTCCTAATTTTTGCTTCGTCTGTGGTATCATAGGGCATGCTGACAGGTACTATCCTTTGGCTTATGAGAATAAAATTGTGGAGGTAACTAAGGCGTATGGGGTCGGTCTGCGTGCAGGAGGAGGGGGGAGATCTCGGTCATTGGGGGGAATAAATGGCTAGTCCCAGAAGGACAGGACTGGAAAGGAGATGGGAGCGAGGGTCCAAGCAGAAGGGATTGAGTACTTTCTTTAACTGGAGGTAGCAAGGGTCTGATGGAAAATGAAGACAAAGCATCTGAGGAGGGAGCCACTAGAGAACCTAAACGCAGGAGGACTTGGCAAGAATCTAATGGCCTTGGATGATCCAAAAAACGGGGAGGGGGCAGGTTCACGCATCTCAACCCGCCGAAAATTTTGAAGATTTTTTCAGCTAGAGGAGGGCACTGGAGCTCATTCGTGATCATTAGGATTCATTTTAATTTCCACGTCGTTCTTACTGTCTTTATATTCCTGCTCTTTGCTAAGAACTTGTTTATCTCCATTACTGTTGTTTTGTTCTGTCAGAGTCTTACATTAGGTAGGGGTGATGAGGGTTTTGCTCTGGCCACATTAGGCTCACATAGACCCACTACAGGATCAGCGAATCATATTGCTCTATTTACAGTGATTGGTTCTCATGCTGGTTCGAGGGTCGGTGACTGGAAATGTTTCCTTTATCTCTTTTGCCCCTTGCTGAATTTCTTATTATCAATATAAGCCGCCTTGTTCCAATTAAAAAACTTTGCCTATGTTTTCGATCCGTTACATTGATCAATTTCTATAGAAAGCAAAAAACGTAGGTAAGGCAGGTCCGATCCTTGTTGGATAGGTTTTTTTCCGGTATGTATACTGTGGTACAGCTGCATGGTGAGTACCATGCTCCCATGGTTATATGAAATGCAGGGCCGGTCCTAAGGGGAGGGCAGCTGGGGAGACCGCCCTAGGCCCAAAAAAAAGTAGAAAGAAAATTAGGCCCAAGTTTTTTTCTTTATATGTAATCTGAGTAGACTATTTTTTATTCATAGTTCAATTAATTAATTAGGCCTAATGTGTAATTTTTGTTAACAATTCGGGAATTTTAAAACATAAGTAAGAAGTCTTGAACGGAGCTAGACAAGTTTTTAAAAATGAATATAAATTTAGTTTTGATTTTTAAATAGAGTGGGTTGTTAGTCTACACATTTGTTGTGAAATCAATAAAAGCATGTCTCTACACATCTTTTTAGCCTTTAATATTTTTTATTCTTTTAATTACAAAATTACCAATTTATATTATTGTCTTTGGGTTGCCAGTGCCTCGCAATTCTCAAACATTATCCCAATTATCTATTATGTCTCAAAAAACTTAATGGATTAACAATTTTAAACATTGCACGTGTGGTCTTGGAAAAGATTAATTATAAAGAATTTATTGATGATTTTACTTCACAATGTTCTTTTGTGATATTTGTGTTGTTACTTTTGTTCAAATATGCAATTCAAATAATATGAAGGTGAATTTCATTTTTATTTTATAACCTTTATTAGATAGTTCTAGGGAGAATTCCTGAATTAGGAGTAATTTTTTTTGAGAATTTCATAAGAGGACCGTCATGTGTTTGTTTTCTGAATATAAGTAATTACTGTCATGTTCGGAAAATACTACCATGTGTAAAATATGATACTGTCAGAATATGACAATAATGACTTCTATTTGGAGAATATAAACATGATAATCTTAGTTTGGAATATACAAACGTTTTTAGTCGTATTTAGAGTAATTTGTCCTAATTTTATTATACTCCGTAATTTTTACTTTAAGTATAATTTATTGTTTATCTTGAAAATAAGGCCGAAATATCATATTGCCCATAGGCCCAAAATTGGACAGGACCGGCCCCGATGAAATGTAACTCGTGTGAATCCACATGTAATTTCAAGTTAATCAAAATGTAAATTACACTCATTCGCATATAACTCGTTGAAATGTAAACTACTTTAATTGAAATGTAATTTGGAAACAAATTAGATGTAACTTAGCTTGGGATATGTAACTTTAGACTATTGAAATGTAAAACATTTTAACTCCATGTATTAGTTAGTATACATATAAACCAATTACTCCATATGCATAATGCATCCATCAACACAATGGAGATCAATACTCCATTCGAGTATATGTAAAAGAGCAGTAAGCTTCCCTTCCCTCATTCTTTCCACAAAATCAAAGAGGCACTATTATAGATTTAGATTCAAAGATTTAGATTCAAAGAGCACTATTCTTCAGCAGCTAATGACGCTTTCTCTTCAGGACTAGGGGTGTCGATTCATGATTCAAAGAAGCGAACCCAGAGTTTTTTTTATTGGTTGGGGACTGCGCTGCACAAATCTATACCCAACGGGGGCTCCGATGATTTTCCATGTCTCTAAATTGACTCTGCGAAGGGAGGAAAGGCCTGCCTAACAGTTGGGAAGGAAGAAGATGACTCTTTTTTAATTAAAACGGTGGCGCTTAGGGATCGGCACACCGTGCGCACCGTGGGCTGATCCCACGGTATAATCTGCGGGGTTTTTTCGCCATGCCTATTCAGAAACTTCTACCACAAGTACCAAAAGTGTTTTAAATATGAAATGCAGAAAAAACATCCCACTAGTAGCAAGTTAGACAGAATAGAAAAAACAGGTAGAGAATACTAAATGCCTTACATTTTAAAGAAATTAAACACATAAAAATCAACAATCTGATAGATCGATGACAGCATTTGGTGAGGATCTAGGGTAACTGAGCAAGGTTAGTCCTATCTTGGCAAAGAAATCTGCATCTTTAATGCTAACATATGTTTCCATATATTCCAATACTGGTGTCCTCTTAAGAAGGATTCGGGCCAACGTGAGCAATGGTTCACCATCAAGATCTGGATCTGCCAAGTCAATCAATTTGATCATCTTCAAGTGCAATAAGTCGCAAACCAAATTATCTTTTGCAGGTGGGCCCCAGTGATCGTCCAACTAGAATCATAGCAAATTTAGGAAAAGCCTTAGCGATTGTTTGAAAAGAGTGTTTTCAAGTTAGAACTTCTACTTAAATTAAGCGCTTTAGCGCTTACAAGCTAAAAATTAAAAGTAGATAAAGGGGTATTTTAAATTGTTTTTCACTTTTTCTATCACATAAAAAACACTTATTTTACAAAATAATACCAACTTTTACATTTTAGAAGAACTTTTTTCTCAAACGGTATCAACTTTTACTATTAAGCACTTTCTACAAAATTACTTAAAAAAATCACTTTTTGGTGTAGAAGTAACCGCAAACACTCCTTTAATCATGTTGACAAAACACAAATTTTATCATAAAACATTAAAAGCATAAAGCATATAATATAATTAACTGAAACCAAATTAGATAAATATTTATACCAAAAATCATGACGTGATTAATTAATACTTACTCCATGGGGGGAGTCCTCACAAATAATGACCAATGTCTCAATGACTGGAGAAGATTCCAGCACACCCAAAATGCCGGGTATGGTTTCTGAAGCACCACATACCAATTCTATTTTCAACCACCATAGCTTATATTTTGGAAGCTGCCAACCATTAAGCATCAGCCCAGCTAGAGCCTAGTATACATGTAGAGAAAAACAAAGATATTATAGATACATAGAATATATTCCCTCACAAGGTTTTCACTTGGCTCTTTAAGGTGTCCCATATTAATGATCATATTTCCCTATAAGTAACTTTTTAAATGACATTTTTATCATCCAATAGTAAAATTAACAATACTACAATACCCATAACAAAATCATTATCATCAGTTAGCTTATGATATTATATGCCCACCAACACTTATTCAAATTATACTCAAATTGCATTATTTAATTATCGCCTAAAGAGCCTACATTTTTTAATGGGAATCTTAAAAAAAGGCATGGGGGTAGTACAAGTGAGAGACAATCTGCATTTATATATCCAACACCGAAAATAACTTTTGAATATTAATCTATTCCTCGCGTAGCAATGTATCACAACTCCACGTTTGACCAACTATCTTCCAATATTTCCACAACATATCAATTTAATATGCGAATAATCACCTTATCACATCAAAACAATTGTTTTTTGTTGTTAGTATACAGATAAATAACACTTTAAATAACGCTTATATTGTAACTCTTTTAATGATCACCTTAACGGTAACAAAGACTATCAACTCAGGATGTGAAGTTATTAATAGATGTGATAACAAACTCTAAGATAACTCATGAAAGTTTATTCTCCCTAAGTCACTTCTACATTGCTGTCAAACAACAATCAGTAAGTTTATTGCAACTCTTGTTTAGAAACACATAACGAATCTATGACACACTCTTAATGGTATTGAATTCTTTGATTATATAAATTTGTTCTCTCTCAAAACTTACATGCATGCGTGATCTTTCTTAACATGCATTTTTTTATAAATATGAGCTGCGATAAGTCTTTCACTGGCATATACAAAAAAGTATCTTTTCGTGCATAAATGTCATTTTCTGCTATACATAAGTATCTATCTTTCATGCACTAAATGTTGTGTTGGGATTAGTCTTTTTTTTGGGATGAAAGGTAAGTATATAAAAAAGCCCAAAATAACATAATGCAATGTAGGGATAGGTCTTTTACTGCCATAAGATGTTGGCTATGCATAATGTGGTCTAACTGGTCTTCTGAAACCTTCTCCTCATTTAAATGTATTTTCTCTAATAAGTTTAAACAGGAAAAATGGAGGCGTATTTGTCCACGTGGTTTATCAGCTCTATTATCAGTGTAACCCCATGTTTGTAGAAGAATAACATCACAGCAGGTTCATCACCGGGTCGGCTTTCGAAAACAATAGGCAGCCAAGTATTAAATTTCGGAGGTAATACTTTATTTGGAAATATAGATATCCAAATGTCAAATGAAACTATCACATTCATCAACAACATATATGAATTCGGCACAGACAATTCTGTATAGATCGTCTGGAAGATCATTTTAATTTTCAAAACACAAGAATGTCAAAGAAGCTAGAAGAATCATACACACCTTAACGGGTCCAGGCCCCAAATTAAGCTCCTCCACATGCTGAATCTTTTCAAAAACTTCCTTTGTATTACTTACATCCTCAGAGGTCAAATGCCCAAATGGATCGGAATAATCAAAACTAGCACTAACAAGGGATGAAATGTTTTTGAGCTTTAACTGTCTTTGTCTATGAGACAACCAAAGATTCAAATCTTTTAAATAGGGTGCTGAGATTTGCAATAAAGGTTCACTTCCTTCTTCAGATTCCCACACCCGCAGCTTGCAGAGATTTTTAGAGTTGATCTCCAAACAAGTGAATCCGCGGCACATACTCAGATTCAAGGAATTCAAAACAGGACAACCTGATAATATCTTTTCAACTACATATTCAGGCAAATCCACTCTTGATAAATGTAATGTAGTCAAAGATGACCACACGATTGTTCTTTTAGGATCCAAAATGCAACCTTCCAAATACAATGATGTCAAGGATAAATTATAATACATCATTTCACGAAGAATGTACAAATCTTTGCTGAAGCTAGTTCCCAAATCGAGTTCTTTCACCTTACTTTTTATGGCAAACTCCAGCCAATTATCAACATCTGGAGCAAAGCAATCCTCGTACTTGAAAGTAACCCTCAACTTCTCAAGATAATTTCCACGACGAGTAGCAATGATGCTATTAACCCAAGCCACAAAGTCAGATGTATTCTTAGTTTCCTTACTTTTACCCCAATCATAAAATCCGAATTCAAGGTTCCGCAATTCAGCCCAAAGAAACTGCCATCTTTTGGCCAAAATACTCGTAGTAGCAGCTTTCTTCAAATCCAGAAAAGATATGATGTGAACAAGTAAGCAATCCGGCAATGCACTGATCCTATCAATTGAATTCCTAATTTGATTATTTTCCCTAACATTTTTAGAGTAAATTCCAACACTTTCAGCTCCAAATTCTTCTCCTTTGGGCAAATCACTTTCTCCAGATTTTTGAGTTTCTTCAGCTAAACTTTTTTCACTCATCGAGGCGAATGAGGTCATAAAAAAGAATCACGAAATACAAAGTCCGTATGACTGACCGTATAGCAGCACGCTATTCCGTTGCCCCGCTGGTCAATAGCTTATTAGCTTTCTCGATGTGTGTCTAGAAAGTAGAAAGATGTATCCTTGCAAATACGTACTACTTTTTCACCAGATCCTTACCAAATACTCCGTACTAGTACATCGTACTGTATAACTCGGGATATTAGCCCATTTCATCTGCAGCCCTACAGGTATTTTATAATAACAATACTACGTATATACGAAGCCAAGGGCCGTGGGGGCTAACCTCAATTTATTTGCCTCTCAAAATGATTTGCAATTTTTTTGTTAACAATTTCATATGAGGGTGTGTTGGATTTGATTTTAAAACTGATTTTTCTCTTTGCTGAAGGAGAAGTTGAACTGTTGGAGTGTGGTGAAAGGAGAAGTAATTTGGTGTTCTAATTTACTCCTAGAAGTAGGGCCGCACATCGAGCGGGTTGGGTCGGGTTTGCTATATTTTTTGGGCCTACCCAATTTCTTTGGGTTGTAACTTGAAACCAACTCGCGGTATGAAATATAATTTGGTAAACCATGTTAGAACGGGTCGGGTAACGAAAGGAATTTATTTGGTGCTGAACCTTTAATATGGGCAAGTAGTTTATAAGAGTAAACCATGCTTGCAATATGAACCTCAATTAACTTGTTTCCAAAATACACCCTGCGTAAAGGAAATTATTTTAGAAGCAAGTGTGTGTGTGTGTTACACACTAATCACCTAGTCAAAATGATAAATGTTTATAATGCTAAAATCATTGTCTTAGATAGAGCACAATGGTCTTAAATAGAAATTATTCAACTAAACTTTGTAGCATAATAATAAACTGAACTTTTGGCCGGGTCGGGTACTATCGAGTTTGAAATTTTAATTATGCAACCCTACCCATTAGATGCGGGTTTGTGCATATTTAACCCGTGAATATTTTTTAAAAATCAAATGCCCGATTAAAAGTGATCGGGTAGGGTTGGGTCGGGCGGATTACGCGGGTTCGGTTATTCTTGTGCAACCCTACCTAGAAGCAGTTTTTTAAGAAATTGGAGAAGACTTGCTTTTGAAAATGATTATGATTTTGCTTCTGCTTTAAAAGCAGAAGCAGAATCAGTTCCAAACACCCCCTTATTCATCTAATTAATATGTTAATTTTTTTATTATATTTTAATTTAGAGTTTGCAACTTTGAAGTGATTTTAATATAGTTTCAGAATATGTAAATTTTAATTATTAAAAAATGAACTAATTATTAATATGGACGATTTAACTTTAACATTGATTGACAAAAAAATGTTGACTTTGTGAATTAATTTGGGATGAAGGGAGTATATAAATTTTCTCAATTGGTCGCTTCCTGAAGTTCGATGCCATAGCCGTGATCGTTTACCTCTTCTTATCCAACATTCTGTTAATTTAGCGAGTGTGCTTAATTAACACTAAAAAACTGAGTTTATATACTTAGAAATGTCAAATGCAACTGTTGGGATATTGGGTCCAGGCCCAATATCCCTAGGCCCAAATCCGGGAAGAAGCAGCAAGCGGGGCCCAAATCCGGAAAGAACTCCCGAACGGCATTCGGGATAAAACTTATACTTGGAACATTCTGGGAAACAATTATGCCAAAGCGTCAAGGCCAGATATCGACCGGTGTTCGGGATACTTCCATCAATTAGATCACCTATGGCAGAGATACCGATCGGCGTTCGGCATATGTTCATAAGCAGGATAGCACCTATGGCGGGGCCCCACACACCGAACACCCTGCCCGAGCGGGCTATCAGCAAGTGGAAGCCGCATTTAATGCTGGATCATGACAGCAGCAAGTGGGGGCGTGGGTTCTTACATGGCAGAGGTGATAGCCTACCAGATTCGACCACGTGTCCACCTTACCCATCCCCATTTTAGTATAAATACCCATGTTTAGATCATTGTAAAGGGTTAGCATTTTAATACTCAGAGCTTAGCAATAGATTTACACCTTCTATCCTTGTAATCTCATATTCATCTACCGTTCGGGTAGTCTCAGTATAATCACATATTTATTGAATATCGGTAAGCTTTTGAGTTGAGCAAATATCTCACTGTTTTATATTTTATACACATTTCAACCATACCCAATATCCCTACAATATCCAAGGCTTGTGTTGGGCTTTCGGATCTTCGGGAATAAACCTCAACATTGGCGCCGTCTGTGGGAAACGAAACTAAAAGTTCAAGGAAAACAGCTGGTCTAAGCACCATTTTTTGAAATGGCTAGGCTTCATACCGCTACACCGAGTTCTGCATCCAGAGGACGGGGAGGCCATAGATCCTCTGAGGGGTGGTCCAGGCAAGGACACGCCAGTGGCAGTGCCACCCGGGAGTTCGAGCAAATCATCCCCCAGGATGTAAGGATGAACCCTCAGTTGATGAGGGATATGGCGGAGGCCATGCAACGCATGGCGGACGAACAGGAACGGGGCTACACGGATGAAACTCATGAGCCACCATCCCCGTTGCGTCCCATGCCATCTTTTGACGAAGAGGAGGACATCGAGACTACGATGGCCTCAGTTCATTCCGAGGAACGCCGCAGGAACCACTGGAGGGCCCATACCCCCAGACGAGGAGCACCAACCAGCCGAACCCCGTCCGCCCCTCGAAACGGATACAGGGAACCTACCCCCATGATAGATCCCGTTGGACAAAACTTCCAATATATCCAGAGGGATGGGGAACGCTTCATCCGGAGGAGGGCTAACATAGCTGCTCCTCCCCAGAACAGAATACGGGAATGTGTGGATGCTCGGATACCACACACTCCCCGAACGGCCCAAGACGACGAAATGGCCGAAATGAGGAGACAGATGACTGAGCTCAGAGAGCAGGTCAATCGGACGCCCCAACAAACCCCGCCAGCACGGGTTGGGATCACCTCTCCCTTTACTAGGGAAATCATGAACGCCGAAATCCTGAAGGACTGCCGTCCCTCGACCGGCTTAGCATACGATGGGGTGGGAGATCCCCACGTACACCTGAGGAGTTACCAGGGTGGCCTCATGCTATTGGGGGCCACCGACGCGGCAATATGCAGGCTGTTCTTCAGTACCCTTCGGGGACCAGCCCAGGAATGGTTCGGAACATTACAACCCGGGTCGATCGGGAGCTTTGCGGAGCTATCCACCTTGTTCTTGGCTCAGTTCGCCTCCAGCTCAACCCCGAAATTACATTTCGGGTATCTAACCAGTGTGAGGCAAGGGCCTAGAGAATCAATCTCCGGATTCCTCACCAGGTGGAGGACCGAAACCCTGAAGGTGACCGGCATGACAGATGAGACGGCCATCCTTCTTTTCACCGATGCCCTTCAGACGGGAGATTTATACAGGGAGCTAAAGAGGAATCCGGGGACCAGCTACCCCGACATCCTGGAAAGGGCCAGGAACTATGCGGCCCTGGAAGAAGAGATCAGGATAAGGGACCGAACGGCCCCACAACCTCCCACTTCAAGACTGGCAGAACGTCTGGGACCCACACCAGCGGCTGCAGCACCTCATCGAAGGACTACGCGCTTCACCCCCCTGGTCATGTCTATAGCTGGTGTTTTCCATTTGGAACATAACGCTATTCCTCCCCCTACTGACACAAGGCCCGTGATGGGACCTACCCCAAGCTCCTACTGCAGATACCACCAACGGAACGGGCACCTCACGAAGGATTGCCACGCCCTACATGTGGCAATTGAGGACCTGATCCAAAAGGGCTACCTGAGGAAGTATGTCAGCACCAGCCTGAACAGCCCCAATCAGCGCCCTCCCCGATCCAATAGCTGGAAGCGGGATGCCCAGCGGGATGCAGAACCCAGTAATGATTCATACCTTCCCCCTATAGAGGAGGCTGAGGGGTCTGGGAATCCAGGGAAAAAGCCACGATTGGAGGTGAAAGTCATCTTTGGCGGGGGAGAGACCGGGGATACGGCCGCCGAACGCAAGAAATTTGAGCGCAGCCTCTATGTCGCCATTGTAGCTGCACCTCCCACAAAGAAGGGCCGCCTAGAGCCAATCATGTTCGGGGTGGCTGATTTACCCAACTCACCAAGTCCGCACAGGGACGAGCTAGTGGTGAGTATGTGTATAGACAACGCCTTGATCCACCGAATTCTGGTGGACACGGGAAGTAGTGTGAACGTGCTGTATTTACGCACGTTGGAGAAGATGAAGCTGAAGAAGGACCAGCTGACCAAGCTGAAGACGCCGCTGGCTAGCTTCACCGGCAATGTAATAGAGGCTGAGGGCACCATCCAGCTTCTGGTGGAAATTGGTGATGAAATTCACCGAGCGGCAGTCCGGATGACGTTTGTGGTGGTGGATATCGCATGTGCCCACAACGCCATATTGGGCCGTCCGGGGCTAGAAGATTTGGAGGCAATTGCCTCTGTTCGACACTCATGCATCAAATTCCCAACTGACACTGGTGTAGGAGTGGCTCGAACAGATCCTGCCATAGCCCGAACGTGCTACCGGGAAGCGTTGAAACAAATGACCACCCGGGGACAGCGGGGTAAACAGCATTGAGGTACAGACCCGGTGTACGGAGTTCGAGGAACGCCCCGAGCCAGCCACCCTCTTAGAATACATCGAGCTTGATTCCCCTCCCGATCGTAAGATTGCGATCGGGGTGGATCTTGAAGGGGGAATCAGGGAGGGGGTGATCGCTGTCCTGAAGAGATTCCAGGTCCTATTTGCCCGAGGACCCGAGGACATGCCGGGAATTGATCCGGCCCTCATCTGCCACAAGTTGGCCGTTCGGCCTGATGCCAGGCCAGTCCAACAGAAGAAGAGATATCAGGCGGCCGAACGGCGGGAATTCACAAAGCAGGAGGTAGCCACCTTACTGAGAATCAGGCACATTAGACCAGTCATCCATGTCGAATGGTTGGCTAATGTGGTCCTTGCTCCAAAAGGAGCTACTTGGAGAATGTGTGTGGACTACTCTGATCTGAACAAAGCCTGCCCCATGGACCCCTATCCTGTCCCACGAATAGACCTGCTGGTAGACGAAACGGCAGGATGTGAACTGCTGAGCTTTATGGATGCCTTCCGGGGTTATCACCAAGTCTTCATGCACCCAGATGATGCAGAAAAAACTGCGTTC